GGCCATCAGCAGAAAAAGAAAATAAATAAAACCGTAAACAGCCAAAGGACGTAACTTAGAATGGGAGATGGATCGGTTTGTGAAAGTGAAGAGAAAAGCCATAGATGAGGTCGCACAGACCCAGGCAGGTGCTGGTCATTTAAAAGCTAAATACAGAAAATACTTTAAATAGGTTTAAAGGGGGGCGTGACCAAAAAAGTTTGAGAACCACTGGTCTAAAGTTAACCAATAATGTTTAGTGCAGTCCACATGTTTACATGTGTTTATTACAGTGACTTTGAATTGCCTAAAATAGTGTGGTAAAGCAACAGGTTTGTTTTTATATATCTGCAATCTACTTTAGTTTGTGTGATTTGTTACTGACTTTCATATTAATGTTTACACCAGGCTTATTTGTCAGTGCTTTATGTTGTCATAATTATTACATGCTTACAAGGTTGGAAGTTCAACAAATCAGTCAATATACTACTGTAATTGTAGTTGTTAAATAAAAATGTCATTCATATCAATTCATGCATCATGAAATTAATTCATCGTAATTTCATCGTAACATATAGGCCTGGCTACAGAAAAGAACATTTATGTTTAATCTATCTAATAGTGTGTTGGTCATACTATACAATGATTAATAGCATGTCTTTGTTGAATAATACAGAACATAAAGAGCTTTAAAAAATAATTGCATATTAAATCGTAATTAGATTATTTTCCAAAATCGTTCAGCCCTACTTGTATGTTTACTTAAAGTGTTAAAGGGATAGTTCACCCCCAAAAATAAATAATTTAAAGGCAATAAGAGGCAGTATAGTTATTTTAAATTCTGATATGATTGAGTAGTGATATTCTTTGTTATACTTGCTGTACATATTAGGTTGGAGCAGGCCAAAGAGGATGAATCCAAAGATGCTCTAAAGGACCTGGTGAACCTGGTGACCGCTCTGACTACATATGGTGTCAGCGAGCTGAAGCCAGCTGGTCTCACCACCGGAGCACCCTTCCTGCTTCCAGGTTTTGTGGTTCCACAGCCTTCTGGGAAAGGTCAGCCCTCATAAATTGAAATGCACTTGACTCTTAACTTGTGTCACAGCACAGCTGGGTGTGAAAGTTGGTGATGTGAAATTCTGGGGTATGTTGAACTTTGGCCAGGAAACATGGAAATATTGGGATTCAGGGGCTGTTTACACGACAGCATTTTCAGCCATAAACGGGAAACTTTTTATGCGTTTTGCCTGTTCGTTTACATGACAACGGCGTTTTGGAGACTGTAAATGCATATTTTTGAAAACGGGTTTCAAAGTGCAAGTTTTTGAAAACGCAACCGTTATCATTTCCATGTAAACACCCAAAACGGAAGTCTTTGAAAACGGGGACGTCATGCGCGTGCGTATTGGATGTTGGAATCACGTTGTTTGCATTGCTCAAACTGATTTGCTGAAGTCGAAACGCGGTCGTTAAAAAAACCAATTCCGTTAGAGTCCCGCTCGCTGTGAAGAGGATTGCGCTTGGTCTTAAAGCCTCCCTGGAACACGCTTGGTCTTAAAGCCTCCCTGGAACGGTTATGTTCACAAATCAAACACTTGTCAAAAAAGAATGATTAATTCTCAATTTAGAGTTTGTTATTCGTATGGTCTAGGTGTTCATACGGCATATGCCTTAAATACGGGATGATTCCGTATTATACGGAACGGTTGGCAACCCTATATACAACATATAATCGTCACTTCCCTACAGGTACTGTACTAACAAGGCGACAGCGCCAACTACTGGCCTGGCATACATAATAAAGCGTTTTTGGCCTTTTTCGCGGATATGTGTAAACGCAAATCGTTTTGAAAACGTTGTCGTGTATAGACTTTTCTGAACGTGGAAGTATCGCCCGACTGGAGCAGTGCTTCACGTTTCCAGTCTCTGGTTTCTAGTCACATTTACATATTTTCCAAGCCGATAATATAACGTGAAACCCATAAAAATGGTTTTAAAAAGCACATGACGCCATAGTTTCATCACTTTACAGTGTCGCAAAAACTGTCTTTTTGCAGTAAAGGACCTGTCATAGTTTAATGAGTGAGAATGACATGAAGCGACGCAACGTTAGCGACATTGAAAACAGATGAGCTCCCGATCAGCATATGTGTAAACGCAAATCGTTTTGAAAACGTTGTCGTGTATAGACCTTTTTCTGAACGTGGAAGTATCGCCCGACTGGAGCAGTGCTTCACGTTTCCAGTCTCTGGTTTCTAGTCACATTTACATATTTTCCAAGCCGATAATATAACGTAAAACCCATAAAAATGGTTTTAAAAAGCACATGACGCCATAGTTTCATCACTTTACAGTGTCGCAAAAACTTTTTGCAGTAAAGGACCTGTCATAGTTTAATGAGTGAGAATGACATGAAGGCGACGCAACGTTAGTGACATTGAAAACAGATGAGCGCATATACAGCTCCCGATCAGGGTGAAGTTCACGGGAGTTTGTCCACAGAATGATAAAAGCACACATTATTTTAACATATTATTTTATTATTTCACACTCGGTATTTTAACTTAAGCGCTCTAAGCCATGCATACAGCACCGGACATGGACAGATTTTATGGTACGCAAAACAAGTGCGCACATTCAGATTTAGTTATATTGAAAAAGTTTCAATTCAGTCAATCTTTTTTTTTTTTACCCCGTTTTAACATGGATTTCTATGGAGACCGGAACATGAGAGCACCCAAATGGAAGTTAGAATCCATCATGGCGCCGCTCACCGGTTACTCAGGAAAAAGGTCTATACGTGAAACTTAAAAAAAAAACGCAAGGGAAAAATGTTTCCGTTTTTGACTACATCGTTGTCATGTAAACGTAGCCCCAGATGGCAAGTTTGCAATGCTGAGGCTTAAGTGGCCAGCATTACTAAAATACTTTAGAGATTTAGTGTGCTTCTATATTTGCAGTCATTCACATTTTTGCACCCACTGGGGTTCATTTCTTGCTTCCAAACAAAGAAATTCAAATGACTCTTTAAATTATTTTAATTCATTCATTCATTCATTCATTCATTCATTCATTCATTCATTCATTCAAAAAAAATATATGGTAATGATACTTAAATCTTTTTAAGAGCTTGCAGGACGAATTAACCTAGCTGTAATCAATGGCTGTTTTAACCTTTGAGTGAGATTAGTAGTTTTCTTCCTTGTGGCGTTTTCAATTATTAACCCCCTCTGTGTCTGCTGCTGCCTCCCTTCATCAGCTAGATTACTCTTTTAGTCACACAAGGAGAAGAAGGGCGTGCGGTTTCTGAGGGAGAATTAAAACATTAGTGTTCACTGGCTGTAAATGGCATTAATTGGTCAGAAGGAGGCAAACGGCAGACACCTACTGTGTAATCTGGTTAGGTTATTTGTTTAGCTTGTCTTATGCCTCGCCAAGAGCCATTAAATGCTGTAATTAAAATAATGGCGCCAGATTATATTGTTTATGCACCCAGTCACATCAAGACGTCCTCTTTTCCAACAAGCCAATCACAGAGACTGTTCATTTCCTACTTTGTGTTGTCATTTTCACTCAACCAGCAATAGCGCTCAATGAAGTGGAAGTTCATAAAGGTTGAATGCACAAGAATGGGTTTTTAAGGGTTGCAGGACTGGCTTGTCTCGCTCTATGATCATGTGATGGTTGGGTGTTCACAGTTATTATTGCATACAGTATGTTTTTCTTGAAGCCTAGCATAATTACTCTTCAGAAAGACCCAATGGAGAAATAAACACCAGTAATCAATTTTGTGCTCAGGACATTGGTGGCTATTCAGCAGTGTTGTAGTCGAAACCAGCTCATTTGAGTCTGAATCAAGACCGATACGGGAAGAAGGTTGAGTCAGTGTCAAGACCGAGTCCACATACTCCCAAGTCCATGACAAGACCAAGACCATAAAAATATGAGCCTTGAGTCTGATTCTAAAAATGTATTTTCATGGTCTAAGTCTTAATCTTCAAGTTAAAGTCCAAGACCATATTTTTACAGTCTTGGTCTCGGTCTTGGTCCTCGAGTCAGAGTTTAAGACCATCATATATTCATGGTCTTGGGTACTGTTTTGAACGTAAATAGATGATTTTATTCAGAGATGTTTAACTGTTGCATTTAAAAAAGTATCACCTGAGAGTATTTCAGATTTTTGTTTTTGTCTAGTATTAAGCTTAAATGTCTTGTATATCTTTTTGTTAATTGTATGACTTTTATTATGTTATTCACCTTGCTGCTGACATGGTGTTAATAAATAAATAGATAAATCATAGTCTTGGTCTTGTTACAGACTTATGTTTTGAATTCAACCCTCTTCTGGGCTCTGACTTGAATGAGCTGGTCTCAACTATGGCAATGCTGTTCTTATATGAGTATTATGTGACTTACTGGATGTGTTATTGACCTCTTTTTAACAACAGAATTATTTGGAAGTCATGTCATGAATATACACTTCTGCATTCAGGTTGAGAGGAAATGAAAATATATGAGGTTTTGTGTTACTAGCTAGAGTCCACCAAAGGTCACTGGAGTTTCTAGAGTCTAGACGGTGGTGCTAAATGAATAGTTAAGCCAAAAATTAACATACTTTTGTTATTTACTCACCATCATGTTCCAAACCTGTATGAATTACTTACTTTTGTGGAACACAACAGGAGCCATTTTAATAAGGTATTGGTTATTTTTTGTCCATCATTGCTTATGATTATGATCTTTTATTTTCAGGCCACACGGTCAGAAACATCCAGGCTTTCTCTGTGCTTCAGAATGCCTTCTTGAAGGCCAAGAGTGGTCGATTAGCACGTATGATCCTTGAAGCCATTGCCAACATATACGCCGCCGACTATGCCAACTATTTCATCTTAGAGGCACAGCATACGCTGTCGCAGTTTGCAGAGCGAGTAGCAAAGCTACCGGAGGTGCAGTCCAAGTACTTTGAGCTACTGGAGTTTGTTGTCTTCGGTCTTAATTACGTACCATGCAAAGAGCTTTTTAGCGTTAGCGTGCTGTTAAAGTCAAGTACTTCTTACGGATGCAGCATCACAGCCACTCGCACTCTTCTCAAACTCGGGCGCCACCACCCTGTCTTCAGTGAGGTCTTCCGTGAAGTTGGACTGCTGGAAGTGTTAGTTAACCTGCTCCACAAATATGCAGCACTGTTGAAAGACCCAACGCAAGCCCATGACGAGCAGGGTAAATCTTTTGTGAACTAAAATTAATTCATTAAATAATATTTATTAGTAAGGTTTATTTTTTTACATTTTTGTCTTAGTTAGCAATAACAATGCTGATACTAGTTATAATTTCAATGACTGCTCCCCCCACTGTGGTCAGGTGATGCCAAGAACAATGTGGCTGAAGAGCAAAAACAGCTTGCCTGGCTTGTCATGGAGACACTCACAGTCCTCTTGCAAGGCTCGAACACAAATGCAGGTAAATGTGTGCATGACTGTTTCTTTTTTCTTTTTTTAATGTTAAATTGACTTTGTAATATGAAGGTTTGGAGAGGGGAATGAGATTAGGAAAGGGCCACAGGCCGGGACACAAACTCTGATCACCCGAAGCACTATCACACCACATGTCAGAACGCTGCCCAGAAGGATCTGAGTTTTGCTGGGTTTTGAAAAAGGAAATGGTGAGCAGTAGGCTTGGAATTAGACTGACGCAGTAGTTTTGGTCTCACCGTCTCTTCCTCTTTAGCTACCATTATCCATAAATCAGGGCCTCACGGAATCTGTCATGACGAAGCTCTGCAGATTTACACAGAATTGGAGTTCTACACCCCACTACCCGAATAAAGTATTACTTTATTTGTGCGTAACAGGAAGTTCAACAATTTTCAGAAAAGAAAGACGTTTTAAATCTGTAAGATCTGTTAAAGGCTCATTTGATTAAATTTAACAGTATGCTAGTATATAGATAGTCTCAAAGCTTATATTCATAGACACAATGCCACAAAAGTCAGTTTTTGATTTCATATGGTCTTGAACAGAAATATGAGATTGACATAGCTGGTTTTAAAACTTTCCAGTGCACCCCTTAGGCTTTCATTATAATTGTGTTATTATACTGCCGTTTTTCCTTTGTTTTTAAGCACTCAGGGACGAGTCAAAATTCATTTTCATGCGCTCAGGCCCTGCAGTAGTCTCTGTGCTGAGTCAGGTCACTGGTTGAGAAACGTTCTTAACTTCAGCTCTAATCATTTCTCTTCTATATCATGGCTGCTGATAGTCTCAGAATGCTCTATCTCACAGATGCACTCATGCTTTATTTATTGTTAGCCAGTCAGAATGGCTTTGTTGCAGAAAATTAGCGAGTAATTCCAAATATGGCATTGACACTGAGGTGATGAGGTGTCATTTCTAAATCTCGCTATGGTCTTGTTGTGTCTAATATTTACATAAACAATACATTAGATATCTTGCCAAGCTATAAAGTTGAAACTGAAGTTGTCTCCAAGCTTGAATTTTTAACGAGAAAATCTGAATTTCTCAGGATTGTTCCGTGAGTTTGGCGGAGCCAGGTGTGTGCACAACATTGTGAAGTACCGTCAGTGTCGTGAGCACGCTCTGATGATCATTCAACAGCTGGTGCTGTCGTCATCTGGAGATGATGACATGGGTACTCTGCTCGGCCTTATGCACTCCGCACCTTCAGCAGAACTACAGCTCAAAACTGACATTCTGCGGGTGAGGCACATTTATAACTGTGTGAAGAAAATAAGTGACACATAGGTGCAGGTGGAAATGAAGTAAATTTGGAAAATAGTAAATGTCCACATTTTGAAATGAATGCTTCAA